TCCTATGCATCTTGCATTGTACAAGGTCTTACATAGATGCAAGCCGCTGAAAAGGGACATTCGTATAGGTTGCTGCTGTACTGGAAGATGGAAAAGTGCAGGACAGAACATGCACAGCACGCTAAGTAATAAAAGTTGTACTAATAATCATATGCTGTCCTACAAATATCTGATCACATATTCACATAGCAAAATGGAAGAGAACACTCTGTACAATCGAGTGATGGTGAGACACACCGCTCACGGTTCTAAGCTACCCTCTATGCATGGATCGTACTAAATCCGTGCGCCTACTACTCGATATGTATACATGGGACAAATCATCGGTAACACGAGAGCAGGGAAGAAACTACCGAGGTTTATACAATATGTATGTACGTACGGGCTGCAGGGACGTAGAGTAGAGACGGATCAGCCACTGGCTCGCCTCGCCTTCGGTCTCGGTGGTGAACCGGCGGCCGTTCGAGCCTTGGGCTTGGCCGCCTTTGCCTTGCCGCCGTTGCTCTTCTTGGCCGCCTTTGACTTGCCGCCGCGGAAGCAGGCGCAGAAGCCGCAGACGGCGACGCGGGGCGAGGGCGGGTCGAGCGCCGGCGAGACGCGGCCGGCGGACGCCCTGTACCCGGCGTGGCCCGTGGAGCGGCTCCGCTCGACCCGCACGGGCTTGATCTCCCCGGACAGGTGGCTGTCGCCGTCCCACACCATCCCCGACGACCCCGACCGCCGGAACGTGCCGCTGGACCGCTGCAGCCCCGCCATCGCTCGCCGCCCTTCCTTTCCCTGTGCCGCGCGCGCTGCAGGAGAAGAGGAGCGGCGCCTGATTGCCTGCCCGTGTCTATGTCTACGCGTCGCGTGTGGCCAGCCGCCCGGCCGTGGTGGTAAAACTTGGCGTGCGCGTGCGCTGGGGCGCCGACGCAATCAACGCGGGCAGGAAACGATCGGGAGGAAATTTAAATTTATTGGAGCAGGAGGGGAAACCGAAAGGGATGTGGACGTAGGTCTGACTCTCACCCCGGGAGGGGTGAAAACCCAAACGGATAGGATATGGCCGCCGGTTCATGCATGGCACGGTGATAATCTACTCTGGTCACCCGTCGGTGTCTGGCTACCATCACTCGTTCATATTCAAGCAGCAACTCGCGGCCAGGCCCTTCCGTTTCCGTCAGTGACAGCACGCGGCGACGACGGGTTCAATTCAAACAAGGACGCGCAACGGCCCGGGGGCGACTTCGCCGCGGTTTCCCATGCCAGAGTACAGCCTGAGCGTTTGCTCCGCACGCAGCGGCTCGTCAGGGCCTAGAGAGTCACCGGACGGAGGGTGGCGTGTACGGCTTCACGTACCTTGGCGAGCCCGTACGACACGGCTCCGAACTCGTACAGAGACGCGACGATCCGGCGTGGCTTCGATGGGAGCCGGTGTCGGCTCCGGCGCGTGCTTTGGTCATGTGTCGAGGTCGATCGTTCGTGTATGGACGCGGGACTGCACATCACGCCTCCATCCAGCAACAGTGGGAGTGGTTGCATGGCCCTTGTCATGTTGCTTCCAAATCTCTCACTTTCGTTACGAAAAGCTCCAAAAACAGTGCAGCAGTTAGAGTGGGACAAGTTGTCACCGCTGCCGGACGGCCTCCGGGGCTCGCCCGAGTCCCATCGTCCTTGTACGGCTGTTAACATTAGAGACCACCGCAGGGCGAGAGCACTTAGGCAAGCGAGGCTTCCCCTGAACATTTCGACAACAGGATTGGTACAAGAGTTTCTTCCAACTAGAAAGCCTGCCCGAGACTCGTCGCGCCAGTGAGTACACATTACAAGCTCAGCGCAACCACTGCCCCGAGACTCGTCGCGTCAGTGAGTACACATTACAAGCTCAGCGCAACCAGGCAAAAGGATTTGGCGCAAGGACAACACAAAGCAAAAGGGAACCACTGTTGGTTGGTTACTTCCACAGAAGGACGGCGGGCCAGGCACTGAAAGGAGATGGGTATGTACATTTGCATTGCGACTTCACCCCTCGCGCCAAGGGACAGGTTTGGGGTTCCAGAAAGCATCAGGCAGGGCCCAGAATCGGACTATCCATCATGACATAATGGCGAGCAAGGTCCGAGTCAAGGAGCCTTCCTCCGGCCGCTGCTGCTAGGGCTTATAGGGCCCCCTTGTCTGCCGGAAGGGTACTTGTCCTGGCCCCTTGGCGAAGTGATGCCACTGGTAGTCCCTCCGGGCATCGCACGGCGAGGAGAGCCAGTTTTCGTGCTCTGCTCGGCCTCCAGTTGTTTAGCCTCCTCCACTAGCATAGCTAACTGTTTGCAATGAGCAAATAGCCATTAGTCCTGGAACGACCAAACAGCGCCATACAATGAAATCTAGTCCACTCACCCGAAGTTCGTTTTCTTTCACACGGTCCTGAAGCACAGTTATAGCAGGGCTCAAGCTAAGACAGCGCAAGCACGATATGTTAGCAGCCGATTACACACTATGAGCAGTCACTGTATTTGGATAAGCAGAATAAGAAAAAGAAGATTTTGCGCTCACCAGTATTCCATCAGTTTGCATAGAGAAGCATTATATGTGGAGGTATGGTGCATAGATGTAAGTGGGTGCATCTTCCCATCACTGCACAAACGAACAAAACAAGTGCAACCTTTACGGTGAGACAAAGCATCCTGATATTACATTTTCATTAAGGAACTTGAATTACCAAATATTCTGAAGCATGGCTTGGTTATATGCTGATTGTTCCTCTTCAAAAAGGACACGCTGCATATCACAGTACGAACTCAACGTAGTGTCCAGCTTTAGCAGATGCCTTGTAGGGAATACTTTAAGTGGCACCTCCTTCCTTTTATACTCTGCACCACTATCAGCAATAAACTGTAAATTAGAAACTAATATATCGTCATGTTAAAGCACAGCATCCTGCACTTGACAGGTCCGCAGGGCATGAAGAATGATGAAAGACAAGTCATAGGATGTTCATATCATGTGATACATCATACACTAGTTAAGAATGATGATTGTAACTGTAAATCACAACAAAGTTGTATAGGAGAACATGCTTAGGACAACACTAAGGAGGTGTTTGTTTCGGCGATATTTGCCCGTCACCTGTTTACGCCGTAAAGGAAAAACGTTGCTCGTGTTTGTTTACTCCACGACGTAAACGCATCCCTCTGTAAACGGGTCCGGCCCAGTTATGGATCGATACCGCCCACCCCTCACCGGTAAGGTCGCGGTATCCTGCCCCACGAGCCCCCTCCTCCCCGCACGACCCCTTCATGCTCTTCGGCCGCCGCCTCCCCAATCTCCTTCGAGTTCGGCGCCGGCGCCTCCCCCATCCCCTTCGAGCCCCCCTTCGTCTCCCTCGCAACAACTGCCTTGCCCAACCGGTCATAGTCAACTCCTTCGCC